TTTGCAATTCATTTCAGTCTGTGAGCAGAGCCGCTTAACCTTCTCTGGGTTCCCACCCCTAGGAGGTCTCCTTCCTCTCCAAGAGAGGTGCTCCAAAGGCTCTGCTCAGCAAGCACAGAAAGGTGGACAAGGAACTCCAGGCTGATTAGGTTTTTGGGCTCAATTTCCCTCTCCCCTGAGGGAGGTCCATTGCCTGCCAAAGGTACAGATGAGCAGTCCCTGTGCAGTGACTGGGACAGAATATCTAGGACTAAAATTATAAGGGATGAGGGTGGGCAGAGGCAAAGTGAAGAAGGCTTGGGGGTGAGCTGCAGAGGGCCACACACTGTAATGCGTTATGCAGCTATTATCAATATTTCCATGGTGACCCTTCAAGTGGGTCGCTGTACAGGCTGAGTCAGGTCGTGTTCCCCACAATATGACTTCAACACAATACACATTTCAGACTTTGGCCCAAATTATGTTTTTCTTTCCTTTTATTTTGTTCTTTGAACACATCCTATGCTTTCCTGTAGACTTACCTTTTGTCCTTTTTCTCGTAATTCTATGTGTTGCCACCTCTACCCCTCATCTAAGCCCATCTTGAATCCCACCTCCTTAAATGAGGCCTTTGCTGGTTACCAGAAATGGTGTCTTGATTCTCTAAATATCTCTTATGGCTCTTTTTCCATTAAACTTAGAGGATAGCTATGTATTCACATTTCTCCTGAATTTGATTATAAGCTCTTTAAATGCAGAGGCTGTGTCTTATCCTTCTAACTTTCATGGTGTTCAGTAGGTGCTCAGTAAAATGCCTGTGAATAAGTGAGTAAATGAACATCTTGCATGAGTATGTTTCAGATTAGCCATTTCTCCTTAGAAATGGAAGAAAAAAGGGTAAAAGAGGATAAATTGGGATAGGGAAGGGTTGGTAGTTAGGACAAAATCTGATTTTTATTTAGGCCAGAAATTGTATCCAGGATCACAACTCATTAATAAAAAGACATCCCAATTAAAAAAATGGGTAAGATATTTGAACAGACACTTGATGGAAGAAAATATACAAATGGCTAACAAGTGCATGAAAAGATGCTCACCATCATTTATAATCAGGGAAACACAAAGTAAAGCTACTTTACACCCATTAGAATGGCTAGCATAAAAAAAGATTGACAATACAAATGTGTTGGCCAGTATGAAACTCTCCAATCTCACTGGTGCGAATAGAAAATGGGACAACCATTTTGGAAAACACTTTGTCAGTATTTTCTATAAAGTTAAATATACATTTATCCTGTGATCTGACAGTTTTACTCCTAGACTTTTACACTAGAAAAATAATAAGATATGTTGTTGTCTATGGAAGGGTGGGACGTGAGGGAACTTTCTGGGTGATGAAAATGTCCTAAGCCTTGGCTGGGGTAGGGTAATATAGTTTTGCTAAAATTCATCAAACTATACACTTGAAAGCTGTATATGTTATTGTATATACTTGTAAATTATATGCCTCAACAAAAAAATAATTTTGCCCAGAATCAACCTAAAAATCTGTGTATTCAACACACCTGTGGACTGCAGTCATGCCCAAAGGAACCGTGCCACAATTTTTCAGCCATCTAATAGTATGAACTTGTGAAGATTATTAAAAGTCAAAAAGAATAATATAAAAGGCTTATTTTTCTGTAAACCAAGATGGCAGTGCCATGACCCTTCAATTTTCAAATGATTAATTTGATCAACTAATAGCAACAAAAGTGAATTTTAAAGTTTATTTTTATTGATACGTGTAATGTAAACTCAAGGATATTATCACAAAGATTTCTTCTTCTTAGGAGATACTTATAATAGTAAAGGAGATTATTGTTATATAGTCATTTTCAACAGTAAGTTAAATGCTTGTTAGTGTGAGTTACATAATTTAGACCTTAGAGAACTCTTATTGTGGAGGGCATTGCATTTCAGTGTGTTCTTTCATTTGGGATTATAAACACCAAGAGCTTGTCTTTCAAAATAAGATTAAAAGAAAAGTAGATAATAAAAAATGAAAAGTACAAAAATAGAAAATGAGGTTGCATATCTTGATTAAAAAGTCAATAAGTAAAAAATGTTATTAAAAGAAATTGAAAAGCCTTTTAAAAAAAGAGCAAAAATTGGAGACTAGATCTAACTGCAGAGGCACAACCTGTTGTGCCTGTTTTAAATTAGATTCTTTTTTGAGAAATTACCTTGAAAAAAGGTGATAAATTAAGTGAGCGAGTTTGACTGCTTTTGTCAACTGTTAGAGATGAATATATTCTTTCATAAATACATTTATGAGGCAGAAATACACATGCCATCTAATTCTCTTTATTTAGATGGATTTTAAGATTTTCCAAGTTTGGCTTTTACATCAAATCACAACCAAATCATGGCAATTTGATATTCAGTTACAATTTATCAACTATTTATTGAATACTTGCTGTCTTCTCTTTTGAAACCAGGGGATTACAAAAAGTATAAAACATAGTCCATTTCCTCTAGGATCTTAAAAACTAGTTATGGGGAGAAGATATGTGGGAAATAAAGTAATGACAATTTTGACAAAAGTTCAAGACAGGAATTAAAGTGATGTCACAAGGCTACCTATGATTAATTAACACATGCATTTTAAGACGACAACTACGCTGGGAATTTGAAGAAAGATACTGGACATTTCGTTCATTTCTTACTTTCTTCCTATTGGCCTCCCAAATGCTGCCATCTCATTGTCCTCTCCTCCTTATCCTTTGTGGCTTTCTTTTTAAATTTAATTTCTATTAAAATAATGCATGGAGCTCTTTTTTAAAAACCAAATTATAATACACACAGCAGGCCCTTGTGTGCAGCCCCTCCCTGCAGTCTGCTTTTTGAATTCCCAGAAGCAACCACTTTCAACTTCCAGTATTCTTTCCATAATTAAATATTACTTGATTAATTGTTTTTGATTCACCCACTGACTCCCTACTATGGAAGATGAGGATTAGCTCTCTTCCGTCACCCCCCAACCCCCCAACACACACATCCCCTGTCCTGACACCTCCCTCTATTTTACTGAAATAGTTTTAGGACATATTTGGTTAAACCCATATTCAGTATTTGGTTATTATAGTTCTGCATATTGTGACTCATTTCATTTCTTGTGTGACTTTTTGTTTCTTCATGAGATGTCTGTCTCTCTTTTCTTATTAACATATCTTGGTTTGAGTGGAACTCTTGCTAAGTCTTACCATGTGCCCCAAAGTTCTATAGAACACTTCTTAAACCAGTTTTTCATAGTCAATCCTGTCAGATAATCTAGCAATCCCTTTTTATTTCTAGAACTGTCCCTTGGAGCCCTCCATCCTTTAGCTCTGAGGTAGACTTCTTAGTCTCAAGATTTCTAGGAACTCCCTTTTTGGCCATCCTGGGCATTCTGTTTGTTTCTTTCCTGTGTTGATCAATGCTTCTGAATTCCTCATTTCCCCCTTTCTTGGTTGCATTGAGAGGGACCAAAATGGAAGGCAAGGGGAGATTTGGAGGCTCTTGTCATCTAGACTAGTGCTATTTAAAGTGTGGTGCCCATTGGCTGTTTCTTATGAGTCTTTGTTAAGGTAAGAAGCTTGTATAGAATGTAAGCCAACTACTTCACTAAGTGCACTGTTGAGTTTAGGCAACTTTGCTCTCACGGGAAGACTTTTTCCATGAAGGAAACTGTGCTTTGATGTACATTCTGGGCCAGCCATTCACCTTATAGGGGACCCATACTTTGAGTGATTTGGCATACACCATTTGTCTTCAAATTTTTTCAATGTTGTGTATGTATAAGTAAAAAAGTTTGAGTATGTACGTTTAACATACGTATGTTTATGAGCTCTGTACACATATCACTGTAATACCATGTTATGCACATTATGAATATACTAAATGTACATTTAAAAGGATAAGATGAAAATAAGTAACATTTAAAAAACTACTTTACTAAAGTGAAAGCAATTAACTAAAGTGGAAGTTGTTATATATACTTCACTAATTTTGAGAATCGTTGTTTAACCTTTTCTGATACAGCTCTTCAGAGGTCTGCTTCTTGTTCAGTTGATTTCAGTTTTGGTTGAAATGGTTGTCTCAATTGAAAAAGTTACCTCATAAAGATAGATGATTCCAAATGGGATAGGACAGGCTTGGCTGTACTTACTAAATTAAGATTCTCATCTTTCAATCCACTCCAGTAATTAAATACATGTTTATATTAAAATTTGTATTCTCAGATGTCAATCAGTTGTTTTTGCAAACTAATCTGAAGGGTTCCATTTTCGTATTTTATACACATGGATTTTAAACCCATTTCAACTCTTTATTTGAAAGACTTAATAACAAGTTAAAATTTAATTTTTCATTTTAATAGAACAGAATTTTTATAAGTGACACTCACCATTTTCATCAGGAAAATCACATAACATGGTAATGCTCCCAAATACTTGTTTCTAAAGGCCCTTTCCAAATCACAAATTTCTTTAGAAAAGCAACAACTTTCCTCATGCATTGGTGAAGTGTCACCTTTATCTTGAAAGGATCTGAATCAAACTGTTGTTTATACTCTTCCTTCTCTGTGGCATGCACTGTGCAGTGCACATTCACCGACATTTTCTGTGCCACCTAGAGTGCCTTCATCCTATTTGTAGACCTCGTGTCTCAGAATTCTGCAAACAGCAGCCATTCAAAATGTCTGTTTTGTTCCATAAGAGGGCCTCCATGAACGTTCACGCCAAGGTGGCTGTCTGATCAGACATCAGGATGTCACAGTGGGGGGCATGGAGCCTTTGGGCATGAGTCTCAAAGAACAAGCACTTTCTTCCAAGCAGTAGCCTATACAGCTGGGTAGAAAAGTACTGGCAGAAGGCTTTATCTAAGACAACAATATTCCCTATCCACGAACATCAGCTGTTCCTCTTAATGCCCTCCTCCCTTCCAGAAAAAGGAAAAAGAAGAGAAAAAGACTGAAATATGCTTTTGTATGTCTTACTCACAGCAAGTTTGGTCCATGGTATACTCCTCCAAATGCATCTTTGTCAATAACTGTCAGGTATTTATTCTTGTTCAGGTAACTAGAGAGAGAGAGGGAGAGAGAGGAGAGAGAGGGAGAGAGAGGATTAGGTGAGGTTAAGCAAATGCATACAAATACCAAAATAAAATGTGAGCATAGTCCCCCGTAGCTATTAACTGGTTTTTAAGAATTTGGAAATTTAAGAATTAACTTCTTCTGGCTTATGCACCAAAAACATTCTAGATTTCAATTATGCAAAGTTTATACATATTAGTTATGGCAGAAGTCTTTGAAAGTGAGCATGTTTATGATCTAGTTTGCATATCTAATTTTACAAAACTTGCCTAATTCTCTATTTACCTAGCCAGTGGTAATTGTATTTGTCAGTCCTCTTCAATACCAACTGATTTAATTTTTCCCCCAATATTGATCAGTATTCCCATTCACTTTTTTTTTAAAAGATTTTTATTGGGGAATTGGGGGATGGGAACAGCGCTGGGGAATTGGGGGAAGGGGAACAGACAAGTTGCTGTCATTTTG